TTGCTAATATGAGTGACCAAATACGCAATTCACCTTACTCAAACTGAATAACTATTCGTCGCTCTAAAATTCAAAATAAATCGCCCTAAACCACACTGAATCGACACATATACAGATATACTCCTAACTTCAAACCTTATAAAAACCCCGACTCCCAAAATCTCGGCCAAAAGGTTGTCGTCCACCCAAGAACTGCTCTCCGCCGCCGACCATATAACTGTTGCCGCCAGTGTCGCTCCCCGCCGCTGCTATTCGTCGTTGATGTTGACCTGGAGGAGGAAGGGTGGCGAAGAAAAAGGAAGGCGGCCACGGGATCTGCAAATAAGGAAGAAGATGACGTAGCGCAGCAGAACAAAGGATTAGTTAAGGAAGGAATTATCACAACCATGTGTATGGTCTACAATTGTGTTACAATTCATTAAGCTTATTTTGTTGTTGTCTGAAATCAATCTCATCCACACTTAATCAACTCTCTCTTAGTCGAGCTCAAATAGGAAAACCACGTAAAAATCTTCTAATGTGAGTTACTATTCACTAAGCGTATTTTTATGTTGTTGTCCTAAAATTGACCTTTTTGTCCGAATTTGAATTTGCATTATTGTTCATCTCTCTCACTTGAGTTTAAATACAAAGACCACGGAGAAACCTCTCACTCCATATCGAAGATGACACAAGTGGCCTCACAAGCAACGAAATCATATGTTACGTTATTCCGTCTTTTTCACTTTTGTTTTCCCCATATGAAAAGCAAAAACTTCGTAAATTCTATAACTAATAGTCATTGAGCTCCAATTATGTAGATTTTCATCCTCTAATCCATAACCTCATTGGTCAACGAGTGCAAATTGTAATAGATCTCTTCCACAATATTTTCGTGATTTTGTTTGCTACTTTTAAAGTTATGTCTTATGCATTACATTTTGTTATTCCTTTCATACAACACAATGACAATTTTACCTTTTACTCGTCGCGAAGCGCAAACGAGCGGATCATATTGATGAGTGCACGTTTCTAGCCTCTAGGCCATTAGGTTATTTTCGGATATTATTATTATTATTATTTTATATTCTTTTAGTTATTTTGGGTTATTATTATTTCTTGTTGGGGAAGTAATCGGTTATGAGTCAATATAGGATTGGGTTTCCTTGTGCAAAGGGGAAAGGGTTTACAGGATTTGTCCTACAAATATGTATTTTGCCTCTACGTTTTATTCAGCTATTTCCTAGGTTCTTTCTCTCTTTCTCTTACGAAAACCCGACGCGTGAACCGTCCGCGTCAATTGGTATCTGTGCCTGGTTCCACTAGAGCCAGGAGCTATGCTGCCAAAGAAGCACACCGTGATGTCTTCCTCTCAAGACACCGACGACGACACCGCAAGCCAGCAACACGTCGCCGTCATCCAGCAACTTCGAGACGCGGCCAAACGATTTGCTGATCTCGATCAGCAGTTGCGCGCCGCGGGGGAAGAACGCGGCCAACTCCGAGTTGACATCTCGCAACTCAAGGACGGGCAACTGATGATTCAAAACATTGTTAGTAAAATAAGGTACGTGAAAGTTACGTATAAAATATGTGCGAGTATTTTACTTTGTCTCTAAACTAAAGTTACGTTTAATAGTACGTCAACAATCATAAATATATAAAATTAATTATTTTAAAAAATAAATAAATATACAAATAATAGTAAAGTTAACAATTTGATTCATTAAATACGCATATTAAACGTGATATACGTGTTTAGTACGAGAGCCATCAAATGAACGGAAAAAAATGAAACGGCTTGACAATAATACGGATACGGAAGTTTTAAACGGATAAAATACGTACGGGTATATATACGTATATTAAATGGAGTATTTACTAACTATGATTCAAAACGAGATTCGGCCGCATCGTAAAGAGTTGCAGCAAGGGCTCGATCAGGTAGTCGAGACGCTACGAGGAGAGATGCATCGCGAACTCGATGGGTTAGCGAAGAGGATGGATGCGCTCTTTGTGGGAGGCGCCGATCGAGGGAAGGCCGGTGGGAAGCGTACCACAAACCAAATTGTGCCCGAGGAGAAGCTCAAGGGGGTAGAGACGGCACAAACCAGCCCCAAGGGCATCGATCGTGCAATCCTACAGACGCCAACTCGAAAGGAGCATCGTCAGGGAAGGAGAGACGCGATAGAGCTATTCCTCTCACAGGAATAGCATGGGGAAGCCTGGCCTTCAACGACGAAGATGGCAGGGTGGCCAGGTCGACGGTGAAATTCGATGAGCGCCCGGGGCGCGGAACGGGAGGCGGAGACCGACAGCGCAAGGTCGGGGAGGAAGACGACGGAGGTCCGAAGGGGCCTTGGGCCGGAACTGAGTTGCGCAAGGAGGAGGAAGGCTTCCGAACGGGTGGGGAGCTGATTGCCAGGTCGGACCGATCCCTGAGTCGGCTGGACCTCATGGGAGAAGACCGCGTCGAGCCCTGGCGGTGGCCCAGAGGCCACGGTGGATCGGGCGGATGGACAACCCAGTCAGGGGCAGAGTCCGCCGGACAAGCCGCGAAACCGGGAGCGCTGCGAGATAGGGAAGACTCGCGCTAGTGAGGATTCAGCTGCAACATGGTTTCGTGCTACCCTCAAATTTCCAAAGTTCACCGGGCAGGAGGAACCATCAAGGTGGATGGCTCGGGTCGAGAAGTATTTCTAGTACCAAGACATTCTCGAGGAATAGAAGGTCGCTCTTGCGTTATTCCACATGGAAGGCGATGCAAATCAATGGATCATGTGGGTTGAGGAGGAGTTCGCGCAGGGAGGTATGGAGATTAACAGGGAAGATTTCTGGGGTGAATTCTGGAAACGATATGGAGCTTTGGAGAAAGCCGCGGGACATGAGGCTCTTGCAAAAATTCGGCAGACAGACACCGTAGAGGACTACCAGTAGACCTTCGAACGATTTTTAAATCGTTGTCGGGGATGGAGTAAGGAGGCGGTGATGGAAACGTATATGGGGGGCCTCAAATCCGAGATCTCGGCGTACATATGCGCTTTTGCGCCAAAAAATACGGGAGAAGCATCACGCTTGGCTAAGGTTTGAGAATAGGAGATCCGGATCGAGCGGGGAGCTCTGAGGGGAGCGGCGCGAGGGCCAGTGGCCATGCCTCACGAGCCGGCACCTAATCTGGTGGTTGCTGCTCCACCGATTCCAGCCCCGCCAAACCGAGGACCACCGCCAGTTAGGAGGCGTGTCATCCGTCATCTCACTCCGGAGGAGGTTGTCAAACGACGTCACGATGGTCTCTGCTACAATTGTGATGAGCGCTTCACTTTTGGGCATCGTTGTGCTAACAACCAGGGGTTCGCCTTAATTGGTGATTTCGGCGGAGATGGAGAAGTGAGCTTTGGCGATGAAAGCCAACCTCGGGACGAGGTTGCTTGAATGGGGGAGGTTTGATGAGTGCACGTTTCTAGCCATCAAAGTCTGATGAGTGCATGTTTTGCCTTAATTGGTGATTTTTGGATATTATTATTATTATTAATTTTGGTATTCTTTTAGTTATTTTGGGTTATTATTATTTCTTGTTCGGGAAGTAATCGGTTAGGAGTCAGTATAGGATTGGGTTTCCTTGTGCAAAGGGGAAAGGGTTTATGAGATTTGTCCTATAAATATGTACTTTGCCTCTACGTTTTATTTAGCAGAACAAGAATAAACCAGTATTTCATAGCTTCTTTCTCTCTTTCTCTTACGAAAACCCGCGCGTGAACCGTCACGTGTCACATATGTAGTTGATATATAAAAAGTGGAATTTTTTAGATATTACTACTGATGATTAGTAGGGGTGGCTATTTGGTCGTGTTTTTTGTTTTACCCGAAATCGGACCGTATAACCCGAACCGAGACCGGATAGCAAACACTCCAATCCCATTTTCGTGCTTAGATTTGAGGTAAAAAACCATCTGGGACCGGACTAGAAACCGGATAAGAGAGCCCAACACACAAAACCTAACCTACTCCTCAGCCTTTTAGGCCTCAGCCCACTCAACCCCCCCCCCCCCCCCCCCAACAAGCTCAATTTAAAATCAAGACCGGATTGGGAACGGGTCAAGACCGAATCAGGTCAAAACCGGACTGTATCCAATCCAATTTTCGGTCCTCATATTCTCAAAAAGACCGAACCCAAACTGAATCAACTCTGATCTAACCGAATCGTACCGTATAGCCACACCTACTCATTAGGCAGTTAATTTATTAATAAACACATCTTCAAAAGCAATAGTCAATAAAAATGGGTTGCATTCATTAATCTCCCGCTTTTCTCTCTTTTTCAATAATCTCTTTTTTAGCTCTACTTTTTTTCTTCTCTTTTATTTCTAATTGCATATATGTATTTATTCCTACCACTATTTTCTTTTATTTCTATCTCCTAATATGTGTATTTATTGTTGTTGTGGTGCTGAAACGGTCTATTTGTTCGTATTTGGTTTTATATTTTTAGTTTTCTCTCTCGCTTGAATTCAAATAGGAAAATCACGTATAAATCTTCTAATATGGCTTACTGTTCATCAAGCGCATCTTTTGTTGTTATGCTTAAATTGACCTCTTTGTTCGTATATCATTTTGCATTCTTACTCATCTCTTTCTCGCTCTCCATTAAATAGTGAAAGTTTCTTCGGAACCAACAAAGCCAATTGCTACATTATTTTGTCTTTTTTGTCTTTGTGGTTTTTCATTTCAAGCGCAAAAAACTTTGCCAATTCTCTAATTAACAGGCCAACGAGTGCAATTTACTACGGACCTCTCCCACAACATCTTAGTGATTTTTCTTATCGTTCTTAAAATTAGGTCATTATAATCTATATTTAACTGATTATTTCCTAACGGTACATATACTGTCTTATCTTCCACTCGGCACGAAGCGAAAGCGAGCGGGCAATATCTATTAATATTAACACCATTTTTCCCTATAAAACAAAATGTAGGCTCAGTGTCTTAAATCAAATAAATTTCTCCAATCATTCGTGGAAAAAGAGTCATCATCATCACGATTTGATGTTCCCGATCGCTCCAAAGGAAAAGACATGTAAACTTGACGTGGAAAGGAATATGGCTACTGCAGGCTGACGAAGAAAGCAGCCAAACCTGAAACCACCCTCCCAATCAAGACCAACGGGGATCCCAATTCCCAGTCAGCAAACAGAGAAACAGGAGAGAAATCAAATCAAATTAATAAAAGGAAGGAACTCCCCAACCCAACCCAACCCACCCGAAGACGGAACGGAACAGAAGCAGCCGGCGTGGAGGAGAACATGGGGTGGGCAATCGCTCTTCATGGCGGCGCCGGCGACATTCCACGCTCACTTTCCCCTGACCGCCGCCTCCCTCGCGAGGCCGCTCTCCGCCACTGCCTCCAACTCGGCGTCTCCGCTCTCCAATCCCACGCCCACCCTCTCGACGTCGTCGAACTCGTGGTACGCCCAAATCACTTCCCGGATATCCTCTGGCCCAGGGGCGGAGCCAGGATTTCGAGACCGGAGGGGCCGAAAATAATTAAAAAAATTATGTAACCAATGTGGATCGAACCTGTGTACTTTAACACACTAGTTAAGCTTGGCTACCATTAGACTACATAATTATTTGATGACATAATATACAGAACAAGTTCTACTTCTAAATTTGTACGAAATATCTTTAAAAACCTAGGGGCCGGGATCGATCCGGGGGGGCCGGGGCCCACCCTAGCTACAATGTAGCTCCGCCCCTGCTCTGGCCATCGGAAATTGAATCCCAGTAGTAATTGGCTTGAATGGGCGGATTTATATATAATTAGAATCTTGTATGATCGGATTATTAGAGGTTGCTAGTGGCTCCATGGCTGTTACTTTGCAGGTTTGCGAATTAGAGAACCACCCGCAGTTCAATGCTGGAAAGGGATCGGTGTTGACCACTGACGGGACAGTTGAGATGGAAGCCTGCATCATGGACGGTGTGAAATCTTGAAAGAGGATGGAAATTGGGTGAAACCCGTTAGGGTTTTTGGTGCCTCAAGGGCCTGTATATATACTCAAAGGAAACCAGGCTGTACATTCTCTAATTACAATTTAACGGTAACTAACGAAAAATCAAAACTATAGCCTATCTAATATTGACACCTGTCTATCTACAGTAATAATGGAAGTGGCCGTTGCTTAATGAAACGACGACGTCTTGGCTCAGCTCCTCCATTGCTTCTGAGGAAAACGACTTCGTTTAACACAAGCTCTCAGCAACGGTCCTCTGTTCGACATCCCTTCTTCTTCTTCCTGTATTCTTCAATCTTCGAGTTCAGTTCTGCAAATCCAAGCATTCATATCGTGATAGCCTCCCTCAAGCTGACGCATACAGATTGTGTATGTTCAGCTTGGACATCAAAAACTGAAGTCGATACCTGCTAAGTCCCTTTGTAAATAAATCCGCAATCTGATTCTCTGTATCTAGGTGACTTAAGCTGATAAGTTTAGATTGAAGAAATTGTCGAACAATGTGACAATCAATCTCTATATGTTTGGTCCTCTCATGATAGACAGGATTCTCCGCAATGTAAATCGCAGATCGATTGTCACAGAAGAGCTGAACAGGTTGTGGATGATCAATGCTTAGTTCCTGTATCAGCCTCTTAACCCAAACAATCTCGCATGTAAGCTGAGCAAGAGCTCTATACTCAGCCTCGGAAGATGATCTGGAAACAGTGCTTTGTTTCTTAGATTTCCAAATAATCAAGGAATTCCCAAAAGTGATGCAATACCCTGTCGTGGATCGCCTTGTGTCTGGACAGGATGCCCAATCTGAATCACAGAATCCTTGTAAAAGAAGGTTTGACTGAGCTGGATAGAATAAACCTTGTCCAGGTTCATTTTTCAGGTACTTAAGGACTCTGTGTGCAAGTTGGAGATGAGAAGCAGTTGGGGCAGCCTGATGTTGGCAAAGTTGCTGAACAGCAAAGGTAATCTCAGGACGAGTTATGGTGAGATAATGAAGTCTCCCAATAATCTTCCTGTATAGAGAAGCATCCTCAAGTAAAGGACCATCATCTGCAGTCAAATATGTCTTCATATCAATTGGTGTAACAACTGGTTTGCTGTCTGCAAAGCCAGTATCATTTAGAAGGTCAGTGCAATACTTGCGTTGACATATGTGTAAACCCTCCCTTGATCTGGCAATCTCTAGGCCAAGAAAGTAGTGAAGATTGCCAAGATCACGAATTTTAAATTGAGACTGGAGGAAAGACTTCAAATCTGCCATGCCTTGCACATCATTTCCAGCAATAATTATGTCATCGACATAGACTAAAAGAGCAGAAGTGCCCTGAACACCATGATGAATGAAGAGGGAATAGTCACTGGCTGACTGAGTATAACCAAAACTTATCAATGCAGCAGTTAACTTTGAAAACCACTGACGAGAAGCTTGCTTCAAACCATACAAGGACTTCCTTAGTCTGCAAACTTGTCCTGTCTGTGAAAAACCAGGAGGTAAGTCCATGTATACTTCTTCCTCTAAATCTCCATGCAAGAATGCATTACTCACATCAAGTTGGTACATAGACCAGTCTTTAGCTACTGCAATGGCCAGGAGGGTTTTAACTGTATTCAATTTGGCTACAGGTGAGTAAGTATCAAGGAAATCCACTCCATATATCTGTGTAAAGCCCTTGGCTACTAGCCTGGCTTTATACCTTTCAACTGAACCATCAGGATTGTACTTAATTGTGAACACCCACCTGCATCCAATTGGCCTCTTCCCAGTAGGACAATAAACTACATCCCAAGTTCCATTAGCTACAAGAGCCCTGATCTCTTCATTCATTGCATTTCTCCATCTTTCATCCTGCATAGCCTCTTCAAAAGACTGTGGCAACAAAGCAGAATCCACAGCACATACATACTTCCTATATTCCACAGATAATTTATCATATGAAATGTAAGCAACCAATGGATAAGTGTGTTTGTCAGTGTTGGCCTTAAGATGTAATACATAATCCTGGTATTTAACAGGAGGTCCAGCATGTCTTGGTTCCTTTCTAAGGGCAATAGGTAGTGACTGAGGAGTAGGGGAAGATGTTGGCTGTGGTGAAGGAGATGAAGTAGGAGAAGGAGATGAAATGTGAGGAATTGGTGGAGTGGAAGATTGTAAAGGGGATAAAGGTTCTTGGATATTTTCTGAATCCTGTGGAACAAAGGGGAAAACAGGATCATTTGTGGGAATAGAAGAAAAGTTTTGTAAAGGGTGAGAAGAAGTAGAGTTTTCTGCATCAGGATTGGCAGAAGGAATGGGTAAGCAAGGAATGATGTGCTCATGGAATAGTACATGCCTAGAAAAGAATACTTTCTGGTCTGTCAGGTCATAGAGTCTATAACCTTTAATGCCAGGAGGGTATCCTAGGAATACACAAGGTTTGGCTCGGGGAGAAAACTTTGTCCTGTTATGTGCAAGAGTGCTAGCATAACATAGGCAACCAAAGACTTTGAGGTCTGATAGATCAGGTGGTGTGCCATACAACAACTCATAGGGTGTTTTGTTCTTTAGAGCTACTGTAGGCAACCTATTGATGAGAAAGACTGCATGAAGAACACAGTCTGACCAGAATTTTAGAGGTAAACCAGATTGGAATTTTAGAGCTCTAGCAACATTTAAGATGTGCTGATGTTTCCTCTCTACTCTGGCATTTTGCTGTGGTGTCTCAACACATGACATTTGGTGTATAATGCCATGTTGTGAGTAGAATTCTGGCATGTGGAATTCAGCTCCCTGATCTGATCTAATAATTTTAATGTGTTTGTTGAACTGTGTATTGGCAAGAACACAGAAGCTTTGCAGCAAATTCCTAGCTTCACTCTTATGTTTCATAAGGTATATCCAAACACATCTAGATCGATCATCAACAATAGTCAGGAAAAACTGATAGCCATTGTAACTGGTTGTGGCCAAAGGCCCCCAAATATCAACATGAATAAGCTCAAGATTGTTCACTGCCACAGACTGGCTTGAAGAAAAAGGTAAATGTTTCTGTTTGGAAAGATGACAGACATTACAATGAGAAAGAGATTCTATAGTAATGTTTGGTATAGTCTTCTGTAACTCTTTGGTTCTAAAAAGGGAAGGATGGCCAAGTCTCCAATGCCATAAATCAAAAGACTGTGGTGTAAGGTTCTGAGTCTTGATGGAATTAACAAGAGTGGTAGTGGCTGCTGGATGTATGGTAAGCTGGTAAAGTCCTCTAGTCTCTTGGGCAAAACCAATCCTCTTCCTGGATTGAAGGTCCTGAATGTGGCAAACGTTGGATTCAAAGGTAAGAGAGATTGGCATTGACTTAGTGAGTTTGCTAACTGAGACTAGATTGAAAGAAAAGGCTGGAACTAATAAAACATCATGTATAATCAATTCAGAGGTGAGTTTAACACTACCACAGTGTGTGGCAGGTGTCTTGGACCCATCTGGTAAGGTTATAAGGACCCCCTGAACTGGTTTATGTTTCAGAAAATTTGAAATGGAACAGGTGACATGATCAGTGGCACCTGTATCCAAGAACCATACACTGACAAACTCCATTGGATGCTTAAGGAAGGATGCAGTTAAAGTGAATTTACCTGCAAAGTTGGGGTTAACAGAGAGATGCCTGCTTATGGAGTTCACCATAGGAGATTGCTGTTGACTCACAGTTGTTGCTTGAGTAGCAGGAGAGGTTGGGGAAGTTGGAGGGCTGTATTGGCTAAGAAGCCTTTGTAGTCGACTGAGATCATCATTGGTGAGCCTGATATTTGTATATCCATCAGTATTCTCAGGAATTGCCTTAGTCTCAGGCCTCTGCAAGATCCCAGTTCCTGAAACATCCCCTCCTTGAATCTGTCCAGCAAACTTAGGTGAACCCCCTGATTCCTTGTTCTTCCTTTTCAATTTATAGCAATCAGCAATCACATGATTATCCTTCTTACAATACCGACAAAACAAACCCCCCTTTTCATTCTCTTTCCCTCTGGTTTGATTCGCAGCAAGTAGAGCCACAGAATCCACTTGAGCTTCAGGGTTTGGTTTAGCAATCTGTCTCTCATGTTGTATAGCATAGTGAAAAGCAACTTCCATAGATGGAAGTGGTTGCATCATGAAAAGATTTGTTCGAACACCCCCATAAGCATCATTCAAGCCAGTGATAAAACGAGTTACAAACTCATTCTCCCTATACTTCTTAACTGTGGTTTCAGTAACACAAGGAATAGCTGGGTTTCGTGCTAAACCACCACATTCACAATTAGGTATAGGAAGAAATTGAACAAGCTCCTCCCAGAAACCCTTTAGCTCAGAGTAGTACTGGTTAACAGACTTGTTACCTTGCTTCAGGGTGTAAAGAGCTGTCTGTAGATCTGTGATTCTGATGTTATCTGCTTGTCCAAAGCGCTGCCTGAGATCTTCCCAAAGGAGCCTGGCATTGTCTTGTGAAGAGACACTGTCAACAAGACTTGGATCCAGGGAACCCAAAATCATGAAGTAAACAGCTGTGTTGCTTTGCTCCCAAGCGGCATAGTCTTCTGCAGATGGATCTGGAGCTGAAATCGTTCCATTAATAAAACCCAGCTTGTTTTTGCTTTTGAGAGCAACGCGAACAGTCCTGCTCCATAGATTGTAGTTTGACGTCCCTGTGAGCTTGATTGGAAACACCAGAGACTCGTTTGGGTTGATATAATAGGGGTTGGTAACGGTGTTTGCAGCAGTAAGAGCACCAGTGGTGGTAGAAGTAGAAGAAGAAGAAACAGAGGAAGAATTTGTAGCCATTGTAACCAAATGCTACTTAGAATCAAATGTATGGAAATGGTGTAGGCACAGAAACCCTAGAGACCTGAACCAGGCTCTGATACCATGTGAAATCTTGAAAGAGGATGGAAATTGGGTGAAACCCGTTAGGGTTTTTGGTGCCTCAAGGGCCTGTATATATACTCAAAGGAAACCAGGCTGTACATTCTCTAATTACAATTTAACGGTAACTAACGAAAAATCAAAACTATAGCCTATCTAATATTGACACCTGTCTATCTACAGTAATAATGGAAGTGGCCGTTGCTTAATGAAACGACGACGTCTTGGCTCAGCTCCTCCATTGCTTCTGAGGAAAACGACTTCGTTTAACACAAGCTCTCAGCAACGGTCCTCTGTTCGACATCCCTTCTTCTTCTTCCTGTATTCTTCAATCTTCGAGTTCAGTTCTGCAAATCCAAGCATTCATATCGTGATAGACGGCAAAACTATGAGGTGCGGAGCTGTCTCTGGGCTAACCACTGTTGTCAACGCCGTATCGGTGGCGAGGCTAGTCATGGACAAGACTCCTCACATTTATCTTGGGTTCCAAGGTGCAGAAGCTTTCGCTAGGGAACATGTTAGTCCTTCCAACTTTGCTTTGCTGCTAATTCACAATCTTCATTCCATTGGCATTCTTTGTCTGTCTGCAACACTCGGTCTTGATTTCATTGCAAAAGCTGCCTGCTGTTAGTTCAGTTGGTTTCACCCGTGATTGAGGGGGTTATTGAATCGTCCAGGGGCTAGAGACTGTGGATCCAAGTCATTTCATTACTCCGGAAAATATTGAGAGGTTGAAGCAGGCAAAAGAAGCCAACAGAGTCCAGGTACATCACAACACTTATTCATTCAGCAAGTCTACCTTATCTATTTGAGATGGTGAAACTTTCACCATGATTTGGACACCAGGACTTGAATAGCTGCAGTTCTTGGGCTGCTGGTTTTATGTCATACTAGTGCAAAAGGTTGAATTTTGAATGTGCTGCGCCCTGAGATTTCGAGAGATCAGCAGACCGTTGATTCAATTGCTTGCACATTTTAGTAATTGAGATACTTCTTTGGATTGCATTTCTGATTCATTTCTGAATGAGAAAACAATGAGCATTTCCAGTTCCAGGGTTGAACATAGCCATTTTCACAGCCAACTACCTGTGATTGGATTATATGAAGATGGATTGGTCCTTTTTTACTAATTGGGTATGGCTCAACAGATTGATTACACACAACCCATAAAACAAGATGAGAAGAGTGAAGTTCTGGCTGCTAATGGTGGCAGTGGAGATAGCCAAATTGGAACGGTGGGGTGTGTGGCAGTTGATAGGGATGGGAACTTAGCAACCGCAACTTCGACAGGCGGGCTTGTGAACAAAATGGTGGGAAGGATTGGGGACACCCCAGTCATAGGTGCAGGGACCTACGCCAACAGCTACTGTGCGGTTTCCGCCACGGGGAGAGGGGAAGCAGTGATTCGTGCTACTGTTGCTAGAGATGTTGCTGCTCTTATGGAGTATAAGGGCCTGTCTCTCCAGGAAGCGGCAGCTTATGTCGTGGGCGAGCGTGTTCCTCAAGGCACTGCTGGCTTGGTGGCTGTCTCTGCCTCTGGGGAAGTCACCATGCCCTTCAATACCACCGGCATGTTTCGAGCCTGCGCCACTGAAGATGGCTACACGGAGATCGGAATATGGCCCACTGAACAAGAATGACTCTGTCACATCTTTTTTAAGGGCTGTGTGGTTTGTTTCAGCTTGTTTTATACATTTGGCATTGATCAAGGTTATGTTTTGTGATGAGTTTGTTAGCACTTGCCATTGCTTCACATCTATCATCTATGTGCGCGTTGAGGGTCCTGGGTTGAATTCAAGGAGGTGGTGGACCACGTAAAAATACAACAAATGCAGATTTTTGGCTGGAAACCTAAAAAATAAATATGAGTCAGTCTTAAAATGTTTTTACCTTGTTTTGAACGATTAAGTTTATATTATCAAAGGTTGTGCTAGAAATTTAATTGAAGCTAAAAATATAAATTCAAGATATTTGAACAGTGATAATTGGAGATGGACTAATATCTTATGCATTATTCTCTTTCTAATTTTTTTTTTTTTTTTTACTAAATGTACATATATTTCTACCTATATTTATGACCTCATATGACTAATGTGGGTCTGTCGATGCTAGAGATGGCAATAAAACCGTCAACTATGGGTACTCCATCGCCCCGACCCAATCAATATGGGAATCCCACATTGGCTAGGTATGAGAGAGTACGGGTACAAACGCAAAAAATTTGATGGGGATGGGGATGTGGTGGTATGGTTTTAGTCTCCCCGTCTTAATTCAGATACCCGTGGGCGATACCTGCTCATACATCCAACATTACTATATTTAAAATTTGACATGTAAATCTTTAATTATAACATTAAATGGACCTAGTAAATCACGAAATCAACGCAAATACAATTAATACAAATTTAACGCATTTAATTCTAAAATATTCATAAGCCATAAGAAAAAGTACAATATTATCCAAATCATTCATGTACGACTCTGACACATTTATTAACCAATAAATAACTAGAATAATTTTTTAAAAGAGAGAAATAAGTAGATGAGTGAAGGAAGAATTGGAGGGAAACACATTATTATTTGGTATGGGTGACCACTCAATTACATTTCAATTTTTTTTAATTACTCTTATTTTCTATTCAAACTCGTTATAATTTGATTTCTCTATTTTTATGTATAAATAATATTCTTGGTGGGGCGAGTATGAGTATGAGTATTTTTTGGGGGAGTCTAAAACCATTCCACCCCAGAGCTATCAAACTTTTTGCGGGTTTTAACCATACTAGCCTCATACTCAATCAATGTGGAAATTTCCTGTGTTGATTGGGGATGCTTGAGTACCTGTGAATGTGGGTTTTATTTTCATGCCTTACAGCGGCGAAACCACGTTAATGATAGAAAATTATAAACATAGATAAAACTACATGCAAATCTTTTTTAGATATAGTATAATTAGTAAGATATTAGCTCATCTCCCATTATCATAGTTCAAATATCTTGATTTTGTACTTTTATCTTCAATTCGAATTTCTAGCACCGCCATGGATAATATTAACTTAATTTTTTAAATACACGCTAAAAATATTTTAAAACTGACTCATATTTACTTTAGGTTTCCAACCAAAACCAGAGAGGGAACAGGTCAGGTCGGGGCGGATAGTGCATATTCGTTACCCTATCCAAAGTAATTCGGATTTTATCCATATCCATACCCACATAAGAATCGGGTTAAAAAACAAAATCATGCTCATACCCATTCGGGTTTCGGGTATTCACGGTTATCCATGAATAGTATTTTCTCTTTATACTCCAACCAACACGTTAACATTCACACGTATACTCACATTACATAAGTGGAAAAGTACCATAATAAATCACTAGAATGAAGAACATTAATTAAAAACAACATGATTTTATGAAAACATTATATTTGTATGCTAAATATCAAATATGTTGAGAAAAATCATGTCTACCCATTACCCGCAATATTCCAATTCATATTTTATCATACCCATGAAAAATCTTTCGGATTCGAGTTTTACTCTACCCAATTAAGTTGGATTCGAATGGATATCCATGGTTCCAGATACTTTTATCATTCCTAGCCAAAACTCTTAATTTGTTATTTTTTCATGGGGTCTCAACTAGGGGTGTTCAAACGGTGTGGTTACCATGGTAATCGTTTTAACCAGTACTATTTGGATAGTTTGGTTTGGTTAATTTGGATAATTGGTTTGGTTTGGTTAAAATTTTTAGCTTGTTTGGTTTAGGTGGTTTGGTTTGGTTTCAGACACTCCTAACCAGCCAAACCAAATTAACCAGATAAATAATTAGTTATATATCTAATATATACACATACTTAATACTTTGAATAACCACTCAAGAGTTAAATATTCATCTTTTTAGACTCATAACCTATGACCGCCTAATTTAGATAAATCTCATACATTATGTTGGATGAAAACTTGAAAGCAAGGTTCTTTTTAGCCTATGAAAATTGCTAAAAGACTAAGTCAATTCAAACAAACACAACAATTCATTAATCCATACCATTGTGATAAATTTTTGTTAGGTGAATACTTTTATACTAACCGTAAGATAATTGTCTTAGTTGCATGTATTTATGTTAAGGGTCAACTATAACTATGTGTTGATTGTTATGTTTTATTCATTATATAAATTGTGAATTGATAAATTAACCGAAAATTTTCTCACTTGATGTTAATATGATTTTATATTGGTTAATCTGGTTAACCAATTAACCAAACCGAATAAACTTTAGTTTGGTTAATTTGATTGTTGTATTAGTTTGGATGGTTTGGTTATGATATTGCATTCCATGATTAATAAAATTTAGCTTTATTTGGTTTGATAATAACCATGGTAAGCATTTGAACACCCCTAGTCTCAACTGAGGGAAAAAAAGTTGGATGAAAGTACAAAACAAGAAAACTGGAAATATTTATTATTTGTTCCCGTAGCCCAATAATGTATAAAGTCAAAGGGGAATGGATCAGGTCAGTAACCTTATGGTGAGTAATCATGAGTAACCTGTCCACATCAGCATGACATCAGCATCCTCTCTCTCATGGAAAGCCTTTAATTTTTCCCTTTTTAATCTTTGACGGAAGATTTCTCGCTCATTTTAAGTCGAAATTTAATTTTTTTTTGCACAGTTAGATCAGATTAATTGTGCTCTTCAAAATGATATCCACTTTAATATATTTTTCGAACAAAAAAAATTGAGCCATTTTTTACCAGCATATACCATATGGTATTGACTAGTATTGAAATAAAAACATACCTATGTTTTGAAAAACGTACCATGGTGGTATGAACAAACCAATACTGTAGGATGGTTGAATACATGATAGTAGAAGTATATTAATTGTAATTTACGACTTTTAACATTGTATACCACACAATACCACCCCGTACCAGGGTGGTATTGTATGGTATTGTGTGGTATTTTTTGGTCCTGTAATTTGTTCACCCAGAAATTTGTAGATCCAATAGATCATGATGAACTCGTCCCTTCTGTGCAAACGTTTTCAAAAACGAATTAAAAACGAAGAAGATACCATACAATACCACCCCGTACCAGGGTGGTATTGTATGATATTGTGTGGTATTTTTTGGTCCTGTAATTTGTTCACCCAGAAATTTGTAGATCCAGTAGATCATGATGAACTCATCCCTGCTGTGCAAACGTTTTCAAAAACGAATTAAAAACGAAGAACATACCATATGGTATGCAGTTGGTACCGAGAGACCAGAATTTTTTTTTCCTAAAAAAATGTTGAAAATTGATCTCATTTTGTAGAGCACGGTGAACTCGTTCCATCTGTGCAAAAAAAAAAAATCCGAGTTAAAACGAAAAAGATATGAGTCAATTAAGAAAGCTAGTGAAAATAAAAATAGTCTTTAATTCTCCATCCTTAGATCTGGATTTTCTAAATGAAGGGTCCAGATTTGGTTATTGATGGGTGCATAACCCATGGTTATGCACCTTATCTTGAGCCAAGTCAAAGACCGGTTGTAGCGGAGCAGGTAAAAATTACACTGCATCAGTCCCGTCACGACACTAGAGAATTCCCGAAAATTCCACCAATAGAACTTACATCAATGTCTTACAACAACAACAACAACCACATAGGTTGTGATTACGAAATCACCAATATGTTTGATTAATTACTTAGGATGGTTTGGATGGATTAATTGTTAATGTAATATATATAGTCAAACAATTTATTTTTTAGTGGAAATTTGGTATGTGGTTTCTAAAATATTTTGTTTGGCTGAACCATTTACATGTGGTATTTGACAATAACATAAGGGTAAAACGAGTTATTTCCAAATACTAAGGGGAATAGGAATTATTTCAACATCCAAATTGATTGTCTCTCAATCAATCTGCTCCAAACATGTGTAGTTTGAGAATTTCTTATAATACTATTAATTTGATATTTTTTATTACAACAGGTAGGCTTGGAATTTTTGTATTTTTTTTTTGCAAATTTTGGACTGTATTGCATGGCCATGAGACTGTACCGTATCGTCGGTTCAATTACGAAATACCAGTATCAGAGGCTAAACCGGTATGCGGTATTTAACGGTATAATGGTTGAGCTACGGTTAAACCACGATTTTATCATAAAATATCATACCACTGACTTTTCCGATATGATATCCGGTACGGTTTCATGGACCATGCTATATTAGGATATTAACACATGTATTCAACACCGCCAAGTTTGGGGGTGCATAACAAGATCTGGACCCTCAAGTGGGGTCAAATTTAAGGGATGAGAATGAATGGTTTTTACTTTCCCTAGTCCCTACTTTTCTTTGTTCTAAGTTAGATTTCAAAAACAAAATTACACAGATGAAACGAGTTTGTTGCGATTTACAAAATTATATTCCAAATATATTTCGAGGGAGAAAAGTTTCATACCACCTATACCACTCGTTACCACCCTGGTATAACCTTAGTTTTTAACTCAAAATTTTTTAAAAATTTTGTCAAAAAGAATGAGTTATTCGTCATCTATTACAATTACAAATTCCTTGGGGAAAAAATTTCAATATAAAAAGTGCCACCTTATACAACCCTAGCTCAGAGTAGTAATTAGTTGTATATGTTGAAGAAATGTGGTAAATGACAATGGATACACTTTCATACCATGTGTTATAATCTTATGTACATACATACCAAGTAGTCCCACATGGTATGGACTGGTAATAAAAGTTTCAATTTTTTTGGGGTTAGAATATATCAAAGTGGATGTTATTTGCTATTTTGAAGATCCCAATTCATCTGATTATTATGTACAATTCTTTTAATTTCTGTAAAATTCCAAAACAACGGAAAAGCGGAAGTAGAACGAGATCGATTTTACGTGGTTTCCCCGTTCGGTGTGAACGGGACTAGTCCACGGGAAGGAGAGCT